TCTCTCTCTCTGTTACCATCAGCAAACCAACTCGAATCGGGAGATTCCACGGCCATAGTTACGACGATGAATATTAGATTTTATTTCCAGCGGTTCCCCTCTGATCGATCCGACCACTCTCGGTACCACCGGCCGAATATTCCCGGCTAAAATATTCCCCCTCGAAGTATTCTCGATAGCCCGCGATATTAATTCATAAGCCGTTGGCGGGATAACTAGCCCGGGATAACTCGGCGAATTCCGCTTTATCTCGCAGCCAGTCGGTGAAAATAAGTCGGCCAGGTTCGGGTCCCGGGGAATGCATAATTCTCGCGGCAAGTTACTGGGCTGTAACTTTGGGCAAGGTCTTTGTCTCGGCCGTGAATCATCACCCCCGATAAATTATTCCCCCGCCGCTAGCTTATCGACAAACCTCGCGAAATCGTGAGATTCCTCTCCTTGCTCGTGTCTCGGCGGCGACGTTTTCAATAACTGGCTGTCGCCAGAGATCGCGAGAGTGGTTTGCACGCACGTGTCAGGGAACTGAGAATCTTCAGGGCGAGCACGCTTAAGGACGACGTTTAAAAGTTGATTTTTATCAAGATCGCCGGGCGTTGCGAAAATCTTGGACAACGAGTGCTTCTTTGTCAGACTTTGTCGTCGTTTCTCACCGAATCTTTGTTCAGGGAGAACATTCCAATTGCTGCGTGGTTATACAGATCTATCTCTTCTTTTTTTGAAAAATTGAAATTCAAAAATGAAGTGGTAGACTTTGGTAACAGTCTCATTATCTTTAATCTCGTATATGTATTTAATTAACATGTTTTCTTTAGTGTAGTATAGAATAGTATAGTATATATATAATATATATTATAGTATATAATATAGTAATTATATATAGTACAGTATAGTATAGTATATTATTGTATATCAAGGAATGTTATAGGTGGACGATTTTTAGCGTGAGCAACATTTGAAAATGCCATAATTGATAACCTTAGCGAAAATATATTTGTCATGGAATTTTGGTCATGGAAGGTTAGGTTGTATGACAGCTATTTACTCTAGCTGAAAATCTGACAACGTCATCGTTCAATCATTCATTTGGGCATTTGTGTAATAGTGTAAAATATAAATGGTGAAATACATTGTACGTTGTAAATTGTGAAATATAAAATATAAACTGTGATGTAATTTTCAAATAACACGAAATTATAGAGAAGTTAAAATATTTAGAAATTACATTTACTTTTAATTCAGGAACTCCGCGAATGTGTTTCAGAAGCACAATTTTTACTTGACGCTACAAATTAATACTAGCAACGCATTGGTACATTGTATCATAAAATTTTGTGAAAAGGAATACAATCTGAAACTGGTTTTCCATCACTGCTATCCATGAAGATGAAAATATAAACGAATATTATATAAATAATACAATATAATAATATATATAAATAATATAATTGGCTCCCTGTTCTGTTAGCGATTTCTCGTTCATACAATAGGAGTTCAAGTGAATTCAGCGCTATAAAACATTGATTGAGATTTGGTTCAAATAAATGTCCGTATAAACAATGGCAGGTTTTTGTCTACCTAATGACTTATTATTCTACACAGTGGAATAACAAGTT